AAAGAAGGAAACATGGCGACTCCATGAGATGGTTTGCTATGGATTAGAAGAGATTGCCAATGTGGGTCACGTCGTGGACTCGGAGCGCCTGGATAAGTTTTTCCCAGGCTCCGTCGAACCCGGGGAACTGATCCGCCCGGAAAAGATTGAGCTACTCATCAGCACCCGGGAGGGTCGTCTAGCCCCCCAGAGAATGATGAGGTGCGGTGACTTGGTTCTGTGGGATGGTCCGTTGGGGAAAACCATCAGTGACGCACACCCGGATCTGTTTGAAGATGTGGAGGTGACTGCACGACTCTCATCGACCCATTTGGCATGCTCCATGAGGGCGGCGTCTCAGAGAGTTGTGGCCCTCCATAACTGCTGCCCAAAACCAAAGAACAGCGTAGAAGTCGGTACCACGGCTACATCCAACACTGAGATCATCAAATGGCTGCAGTGGGACAGTATTGGTGCCGCCTGTGATCCCATGTGTGGCGGGTGCCGCTGCGGGAAGTGCGCCCCTGGAGGGAAAGAAATGTCACTTGCTGATGAAAGAGAGTTGGCGATCATCAGAGGGGGTCTAACCTTCAAGCTGAGTGACAATCATAGTGACAAGCCCCATTGGGATGCTAAATATCCCTGGAAAGAGGACCCTGCCACCCTACCTAACAACCGCAAAGCTGTGGAGGCGACTTTCCTGAAGTCAGAAAAGCGCCTCGAGAAAGATCCATTATGGAAGGCAGCTTATGCTAAGCAGGTGTGTGACATGCTGGCGAGGGGGGCCGCTATCCAGCTTTCCCAGACGGTGTTTGACGAGTGGAAAGGGGCCGTGTGGTGGATAAACCATTTGATGGCGCCCAACCCACACTCTAACACCACGCCGGTGAGGCTCGTTTGAGACAGCAGCCAGGTGTACAGAGGTGTTAGTTTGAACAGCATCTTGATGAAAGGCCCAGATGTTCTGAATCCCATTAGGGCAGTGCTGCTCCATTTCCGGGAGGGAGAGCATGCAGCAATAGGGGACGTCTCCAAAATGTATAACTCTGTATGGCTGGAGGATCAAGAGGTGCACGTTCACCGCTTCTTGTGGAGGCATTCCCTGGAGGAGGACATCAAGGATTATGCTGTGGTGCGTGTGAACATGGGTGACAAGCCTGCAGGTTGTATCGCTCAGGTTGCCATGCGAGAGACTGCCCTTCTGCCACAGTTTGTCAACAGAGTGGAAGAAAGACGAGTCATTGAAGAGGATACTTACGTGGATGACATCCTTGTGTCCCACAACGACCCTGAGAGACTGAGCGAGATCCTTGAGGGGGTTGAAACCATTCTCAAGCATGGTGGGTTTTACCTCAAACCTTGGGTGCGGTCTGGCTTTAGTGGGAGGCAAGGTGCTGTTCCTGCCGAACCAGAAACCATCATGTTGCCCAACCAGCTGCGGACCGAGGACAACAAGGCCTTGGGTGTGGGTTATCTCGTGGAAGAAGACAAGCTCTTCCTCATGGTGGCTATTAACTTCTCCGCAAGAAAGAAAAAGATGCGTACTCAAGTAGACCTCGCTGAAGAGAACATAGGGGAGAAGACGCCAAATCCCCTCACCTGCCGTATGCTTCTAAGTCAGGTAGCAGGGCTCTATGACCCCCTTGGTCTGGCGACGCCCCTGAAGCAGAAAGGTGTTATTCTTGTCAGAAGAGCCTTTCAGGAGGCCGGGATACTGACTAAGGATACGTGGGATAAGCCGCTGTCTAGTGAACTACGTGGGAGAGCGATCAAGCTCTTTGAGGAGTACGCGCGGCTGAGTACCATCACCTTTCCCAGGAGTATTACACCATCCGGCTGGGTGGGTAAACCCTGGGGGATCACGTTCTCTGATGGAAGTTGTGACTCATACGGAGCGGTCCTCTACCTGCGCTGGGAAACATCTGGAGGGGTTAAGACCCGGCTCGTGGAGTCCAAGGCCAAATTGACTCCAATCGAACAAAAGGGAGAAGCTGTCAAGGCAAAGATTTGTGGAGCTGTTTTTGCCACTCGCCTGACAGGTCACTTTCTGAAGTACACTCGGTTGGAAATAGATCATTGGTACCATTTTCTGGGCAGTCAGACTGTGTTAGATGCAATCCAACGGGAGAGTTACGGGTTCCAGACCTTCTTTGCCAACCGAGTGGGAGAGATACAGAAGGCCGGGCCTGTGACCGACTGGTGGTGGCATCCTGGCCAGTTCAACATGGCTGACCTGGTCACAAGAGGATGTTCCCCTGAGCAGCTTAGTGAGGACTCTTCATGGCAGACCGGTCCCATGTTCCTAACCAAGCCAGTAGAGGAATGGCCCATAAAGTCAGCTGCAGAGGTGGCCTCTGGGACTAGAGAAGTCGTCAGTCGACTCCAAAGAAAGGCTTTTTCAGCCATCTTAACAAGGTCGCAGCAAAGGGCGCAGACTACTCCAGATGGCTTTGATAGCGTCAAAGCCGTGGTCGGCGGCCGAGTAAGTCCGGAGCTCTTACCATTCAGCAACAAGGTTACATCTTTTGAGACTAAGGGGTCTCCTTCTGTTGCTTCTAATGTCTGCAGGATCAAGGAGTGCTGGGGTTCAGCCTTGATAAATCAAGTAGATCTTTCACGGTTCAATTCTCTAGCCAAGCTCTGTGGGGTCATAGCTTATGTCCACAGAGCCTTGCGCTTTTGGTTATCTGGCAGGGGTCGGACTGCTGTAGGATTAAAGTGGGAGGCGGTGCCCGCGGCTCAAGAGCGGGTAGAGGCATTTCAGGACTTATGCCTTGCCGCTCAAGCAGGTGTGAGTTTCCCTACGACGACGCTCAACCGCCTGGTTGTGCGCAAGGATAAAACAACGGGGCTCTTGATGTGCTATGGCCGGATTCAATCCGTTGTGGAGGAGAGGTACGGGGTCCCATTGATCCCCTACAAGTGTCGGTTAAGCTCTCTCCTTGCTGAGGACGCCCATCGTGTCAACCACGAAGGTGTTTCTGCCACCCTTCTTCGGATGAGGAAGAAGGGCTGGGTAGTTCAAGGTCCCAGGATCGTACGGAAGGTGATTGATTCGTGCGTAAGTTGCAGAAAGTGCAGGGCCAAGCTATGCACTCAGGTGATGAGTGATCTTCCTCCCGTACGCACTACGCCAGCAGCCCCTTTTGAGTACACTACTTTGGACTTGTTTGGTCCATATTTTGTCAGAGACTCAGTAAGACGACGAGTGAAGAAGAAAGTTTGGGGCGTGGTTTTTAGCTGTATGGCCTCAAGAGCCGTTCATGCAGACATAGTTGAAGATCTGTCAACTGAGGGCTTCCTGAAGGCATACCAGCGGTTTACTGCCCTGAGGGGTCACCCCAAGAAACTCTGGTCTGACCAGGGGACCAATTTCGTGGGAGCTAAACCTGCGCTGAAGGAGCTCTATGATTTCCTTGCGAGTATCGACAAAGAAGAGATCCAAAGAAAGGCAGCCGTAGTTGGGTCTGACTGGATGTGGGAGTTTAGTCCAGCGGACTCCCCACACCGGAATGGAGCAGCAGAGGCAGCTGTTCACGTGTTGAAAAGGGCGTTGAGTAACGTTGGTGAGGAGGGAAACTTGACTGCTCTGGAATTCCAAACCCTCCTCTATTTGGCGGCCAACCTCACCAATGAGAGGCCTATCGGGGCCAGAGCTCAAATTCAGGAAGAAATTGTAGATGTGTTGACACCAAACTCTTTGTTGTTGGGTCGGGCAGGGCCCAGGGGCGACAACATGGGTTTTGAGTTCCCTGCCTACCCATTCAGTCGTCTACGTGCAGTCCAGGTGGAAGTGGACAAGTTTTGGAGACGCTGGAGTCAGTTGGCCGGGCCGCACCTGTTTGTTCGGCAAAAATGGCATGCCCCGGTGAGAAATGTTTCTGTTGGGGACCTTGTCTGGGTGGCAGATCAGAACGCACTTAGGGGTCGTTTCAAGCTGGGCCGCGTGGAAGAGGCAGATCCGGATCACCTAGGTGTTGTTCGAGATGTCAAAGTAAGGATTTGTTGTAGTCGTCCCATCAACTGGTCTCAGGCAAGGAAGGACAGGGAACCATGTCATTCCACCATTCTCCACAGGGACGTAAGGAGGTTGGTGGTGTTACTGCCAGTAGAGGAGCAAGAGGAACGTGGTTCATCCCCCTGAGTACCCAAGAAATACTTGCAGATTGGGGACTCTTGGGTGTGGGGACCAGGCCCAACCTGTTTAAAACACTGTTATAAGACTTTTTGTTTTCTATATTGGTGTTTATTGCTACTGGTTATTGTGGCACGTAGCCCAAGTGGGAGGTGTGGGTTTTTCCCATATTACTAACATGCCAATTTGTTTGTTGTGATTTATTATCAGCCAGACTCATATTTGCTTTAAATGACAAATTTATTTAAGACGGAGTGATTTATCTAAGTCTGGGATGGTACGTGTTAACGGCCGCTCACAGATCCTACCTGCCGGATCTTCTTTTCATTGATATCGCTGTTATGACTGATGAAGCCGAGCTGGTGAGTTTCTTTGTTAACCAAGTAACGTGTTAAAGCTATAAATATGACTAATACTAAACTGTACTGTCATTAATAGTGTTGCTTTGTTAATGTTGTATGGTTGTTTTATTTTGTGTCTTTCAGTTGATTACCTGGCTTCTGTAAAGGCACGGTTACTGTACTGGTGTTAGTTTATGGTTGTGGAATAAACTTATAAAAGGCAGCAATCAGATGTCCGAGCCTGAGTACAACACAGTTTCATCAGTTAAAACACACCCTTACGGTGGGAGTTTACTAAATTAAAGGTAGTTAGCTTAGTAAAAACCGTACAGTGTTATATAGTAATCATTTGTGTTTACTGAACAAAAACAATGAGTTATACAACATTTTTCAAAGGGCACTTATAGTTAGCACAGCAAACGGCACAGACGCATTGTCATGTCTGCAGGAGGAACACAGACAGGACAGGCAGCATGAAACAGCTGACATGCACAGGAAGCTATGGCTGAGTGAGAGAAGGTACATGCACTGTTAGGGAGGGCTACCTGGTTGGGGAAGTAGAAAGTCATAGTCAGATGGTGTCTTTTGGATGTTGAAGGGGCAGAGGGTAGTATGTGCTGCCCCCGAGACTAACCCACCGATGGATTCTGAACATCCACCTGTGGAAGCAAAGAAACGTTCAAACAGCCAGTCTGACACAATATTGCATCTTTTCTTTCTAAATTAATTTATATTTTTTTAAGTTTTATTGAATAAGGTATGGTAAGACATGTCATTTAGTTAGGATCTAGATTTTTTATTTTACTGTTCATGAAGCAAGTTAATGGATTGTTCCAAAGCAATATATGCTATTGCTGTTGGTCATTTTGTTTATTATTGGTGTGAATGCTGATTCAGTGAAATACTAAGAACACAAAGAATAAAATTATTAATCTTGTTTTGAGAATGTCTTTTGTTTCTTATTTAGTTTATAAATAATAAAATTTGTTACTTTACATGCATATCACCAACAAACTGTTTGAGATGACACTGTTATCTTACAACCATTTTTAGTAATAATTCCCACACTTAAACTTTTGTTGTTCAAACTTTAACACACAGTCAAGAAAATTGTGCAGTGGTTAACACTGCTACTTCACAGCAAGAAGGTCCTGGGTTTGACTCCACCATCTGACTTGGGCCTCTTCCTATGGGCTCTCTTCCACAGTCCAAAGACATGCACTTAACTGAGTTAGGTTAATTGGTTGATTGATTCTAAATTATCAATAGTGAGAATGGTTGTTACCCTTGTGAAAGACTGGTGACCACAATAATCGTCCTCTCAAAGTGAGAAAGAAGTGATGCTGAAAGAAGCATTGATGGGCCAGTGTTGAGTTTATTTGACTTAATAAAGTACTTGGAACGAGTGTCTCAACACTTCTTTTAAGATATTTCTCACTTGTCTAAAGTCTAGATATTTTTTCTTATTCCAAGATATCTTGTGAAGTGTAATTATCTTACAGCACTGAGTGTTTCTTCTTCAATCACCTTTCTCACAATGTGTTTACACCTTACTAGTTATTAATCTCTGGCTCTCTTCCACAGCATGTCTTTTATCCTGTCTTTCTCCTCTCACAACAATGTGGGATTTAATGGTTGTTATTGTTATATATAAATCCTAGCTGTTACGATTTTCTTGCAATCATCAGTACTTTTCATAAAATGGAAGTAAATCATTATGTTTGTTATTTTTTCATGTCTCAGGTCAAACAGGATCTTATGTGACAATAGATAAAATGTGTTCGCTAAAATGAAATGGAGCTCTATAAATAGATATAAACAAATCGACATACAAATTATTGTAGCCTTTAATTTTTCCATTGGTGAGTTTTAAAATCTGTTTTTTGAGATGCTCCAGCTGTCAGTTCTTTCTTTTCCATACTGGGATTGTTTAAAAAGCAGACCACACCAATCTGGAAAGCAAGCTAAAATTACACTACACTAAATTATATACAGGGAGTGCAAAATTATTAGGCAAATGAGTATTTTGTCCACATCATCCTCTTCATGCATGTTGTCTTACTCCAAGCTGTATAGGCTCGAAAGCCTACTACCAATTAAGCATATTAGGTGATGTGCATCTCTGTAATGAGAAGGGGTGTGGTCTAATGACATCAACACCCTATATCAGGTGTGCATAATTATTAGGCAACGTCCTGTCCTTTGGCAAAATGGGTCAAAAGAAGGACTTGACAGGCTCAGAAAAGTCAAAAATAGTGAGATATCTTGCAGAGGGATGCAGCAGTCTCAAAATTGCAAAGCTTCTGAAACGTGATCATCGAACAATCAAGCGTTTCATTCAAAATAGTCAACAGGGTCGCAAGAAGCGTGTGGAAAAACCAAGGCGCCAAATAACTGCTCATGAACTGAGAAAAGTCAAGCGTGCAGCTGCCAAGATGCCACTTGCCACCAGTTTGGCCAAACATGATTTTCATGCAGGACAATGCTCCATCACACGCGTCCAAGTACTCCACAGCGTGGCTGGCAAGAAAGGGTATAAAAGAAGAAAAACTAATGACATGGCCTCCTTGTTCACCTGATCTGAACCCCATTGAGAACCTGTGGTCCATCATCAAATGTGAGATTTACAAGGAGGGAAAACAGTACACCTCTCTGAACAGTGTCTGGGAGGCTGTGGTTGCTGCTGCACGCAATGTTGATGGTGAACAGAACAAAACACTGACAGAATCCATGGATGGCAGGCTTTTGAGTGTCCTTGCAAAGAAAGGCGGCTATATTGGTCGCTGATTTGTTTTTGTTTTGTTTTTGAATGTCAGAAATGTATATTTGTGAATGTGGAGATGTTATATTGGTTTCACTGGTAAAAATAAATAATTGAAATGGGTATATATTTGTTTCTTGTTAAGTTGCCTAATAATTATGCACAGTAATAGTCACCTGCACACACAGATATCCCCCTAAAATAGCTAAAACTAAAAACAAACTAAAAACTATATATATATATATATATATAACACCCAGCACGCCCCTGCGGGCGGTTTATCCTTCAAGCTCGGGTCCTCTACCAGAGGCCTGGGAGCTTGAGTCCTGCGCAGTATCTTAGCTGTTCCCAGGACTGCGCTCTTCTGGACAGAGATCTCCGATGTTATTCCCGGGATCTGCTGGAGCCACTCGCCTAGCTTGGGAGTCACCGCACCTAGTGCTCCGATTACCACGGGGACCACCGTTACCTTCACCCTCCACATCCTCTCGAGCTCTTCTCTGAGCCCTTGGTATTTCTCCAGCTTCTCGTGTTCCTTCTTCCTGATATTGCTGTCATTCGGAACCGCTACATCGATCACTACGGCCGTCTTCTTCTGTTTGTCTACCACCACTATGGTTAGCCACCACCATTTTGTCCGTCTGTATCTGGAAGTCCTACAGGATCTTAGCTCGGTCATTCTCCACCACCCTTGGGGGCATCTCCCATTTTGACCTCGGGACTTCCAGGTTATACTCGGCACAGATGTTCCTGTACACTATGCCGGCCACTTGGTTATGGCGTTCCATGTATGCCTTGCCTGCTAGCATCTTGCATCCTGCTGTTATGTGCTGGATTGTCTCTGGGGCATCTTTACACAGCCTGCACCTGGGGTCTTGCCTGGTGTGATAGACCCCAGCCTCTATGGATCTTGTGCTCAGAGCTTGTTCTTGTGCTGCCATGATTAGTGCCTCTGTGCTGTCTTTCAGTCCAGCTTTGTCCAGCCACTGGTAGGATTTCTGGATATCAGCCACCTCCTCTATCTGCCGGTGGTACATACCGTGCAGGGGCCTGTCCTTCCATGATGGTTCCTCGTCTCCCTCCTCTTTCTTGGGTTTTTGCTGCCTGAGGTATTCACTGAGCACTCGGTCAGTTGGGGCCATCTTCCCAATGTATTCTTGGATGTTCGTTGTCTCATCCTGGACTGTGGTGCTGACACTCACCAGTCCCCGGCCCCCTTCCTTCCGCTTAGCGTACAGCCTCAGGGTGCTGGACTTGGGGTGAAACCCTCCATGCATGGTAAGGAGCTTTCTTGTCTTTATGTCAGTGGCTTCTATCTCCTCCTTTGGCCAGCCTATTATCCCAGCAGGGTACCTGATCACGGGCAGGGCGTACGTGTTGATGGTCCGGATCTTGTTCTTACCATTCAGCTGACTCCTCAGGACTTGCCTGACCCTCTGCAGGTACTTGGTGGTTGCAGCTTTTCTAGCGGCCTCTTCATGGTTCTCATTCGCCTGCGGGATCCCCAGGTACTTGTAACTGTCCTCTATGTCTGCAATGTTGCCTTCTGGTAGTTCAATCCCCTCAGTTCTGACTACCTTCCCTCTCTTTGTTACCATCCGACTACACTTCTCCAGTCCGAATGACATTCCAATGTCATTACTGTATAGCCTGGTAGTGTGGATCAGTGAATCGATGTCTCGTTCACTCTTGGCATACAGTTTGATGTCATCCATGTACAGGAGGTGGCTGACAACTGCTTCGTTCCGTAGTCGGTATCCGTAGCCAGTCTTGTTAATGATCTCACTGAGGGGGTTCAGGCCTATGCAGAACAGCAGTGGGGACAGAGCATCTCCTTGGTAGATCCCGCACTTGATGGTGACTTGTGCTATGGGCTTGGAGTTGGCCTCTAGTGTTGTACGCCACATCCCCATTGAGTTCCTGATGAAGGCTCTTAGGGTCCCATTGATCTTGTACAATTCTAGGCATTCCAGTATCCAGCTGTGGGGCATTGAGTCATAGGCCTTCTTGTAATCAATCCAGGCAGTGCACAGGTTGGTCAGTCTGGTCTTGCAGTCTCGGCTGACTGTTCTGTCTACCAGTAGCTGGTGTTTTGCGCCTCTGGTATTCTTGCCAATCCCTTTCTGTGTCCCGCTCATGTATTGACCCATGTGCCTGTTCATCTTAGCCGATATGATGCCTGACAGGAGCTTCCATGTAGTACTGAGGCAGGTTATTGGTCGGTAGTTGGAGGGGACCGGTCCCTTCTTGGGGTCCTTGGGGATCAGGACCGTCCGACCTTCGGTTAGCCATTCCGGGTGTCTCTCGTTAACTAGCAGCTGGTTCATTTGTGCTGCCAGACGCTCGTGGAGTGCAGTCAGCTTCTTTAGCCAGTAGGCGTGAACCATGTCGGGCCCTGGTGCTGTCCAACTCTTCATACTGGAGACCCTTTCTTGGATATCTGCCACTGTGATGGTTACTGGACCCTGTTCAGGGAGGTCGCTGTGGTCTGCCCTCAGATCCACTAGCCACTGAGCATTGCCGTTATGGGTTGCGTCCTTCTCCCATATGCTCTTCCAGTATTGCTCCGTCTCCAGCCTTGGTGGTGCTGTTCTCTTATTGTTCCCTTGCCACTGAGAGTACACCTTTGCTGGTTCTGTGGAGAACAGCTGGTTTATTCTCCTGCCTTCTATCTCTCTGGTGTACCTCCTCAAGCGGCTGGCCAAGGCTGTGAGTCTTTGCTTGGCAGTTTCCAAGGCCTCAGGTATGGACAGCTTGCTGTATTTTTTATGCACCTTCGTTGTTGCACCTTTCTGCAACTCCGTTAGTTGGCTAACCTCCCTCCGTGCTACTTTGATCTTGCCCTCTAGCCTCCTTCTCCATGGAGGGTACTGCCCCTTGTGGCTGTTCAACTTGTAG